GGTTTGTCTGATGTTTTCTTAGGATTAGATTAGGGTTATGGGTTTTAGGGGAAAATACCAGAGGAGAAGCAGATTTTTGTCACATCTTATTTAATATCTCATTATATCAATATGATTTATTAGGGTGATGTTAACTCTGATCCATTTGTTATAGTGATATCTGCAGGATATCAGTTACAATAATTGCTTGGAAATGCCATTACAATACTGGTGCTAATTGTTAAGTCATATATGGTATAAAAATTGTGTAATGATTAGTGACTGAGATACTGAACTGTGCATTACTATTATTAGTAGTATTTTTCCACCTGAAAGAGTTTTTTGTTTGTTTTTATTGAGTTAGAATGTTGCCCATTTAAAGCCATCTCTGAAAGAGATTTTATGCTGCAGCTTAAGGAGAAACAGTACCCAGACTAAAGACTCTGCATTTTAAAGAGATGCTATTGCAGTAGACCTGAAATAGTTTCTATTGCACTAGATCATCTACTCGGAATACTGAGGCAGGAGGACTAGACTGGACAACTTAGTGGGATCTTGTCTCAAAATAAAATGAGTATAATGTATTTTGATATGTCATATATACGTGGAGTATAACTTCCCATCTTTGTGGTTGTCCATCATGTGGATATAAGAGGATTTATTATGTATTTCAAAAGTGAGCCAGGAATGGTAGCACACACCTATAATCCAAGCTATTCAAGAGGATGAGGCAGGAGAATCATAAGTTCAAGGCCAGCCCAGGCAACTTAAGTGTCTCAAAATAAAAAAGGACTGAGGACATAGCTCCATGATAAATCACTTCCCAGTGTGTACAAGGCCCTGTGTTCAATTCCTAATACCCCTGCACCCCAAAATATAATATTATTTAGAAAAATGAATTTATATTCAATTTTCTAGGAATGTGGCCCACTGTGCAATTAGGTACCTTGATTTTAATTTATTTTGGGGGAGCATTGGGGATTGAACCCAGGGGCACTCAACCACTGAGTCACATCCCCAGCCCTATTTTGTATTTTATTTAGAGACAGGGTCTCACTGAGTTGCTTAGTGCCTCGCTTTTTTTTTTTTTTTTAATATTTATTTTTTAGTTTTCGGCGGACACAACATCTTTGTTTGTATGTGGTGCTGAGGGTCGAACCCGGGCCGCACGCATGCCAGGCGAGCGCGCTACCGCTTGAGCCACATCCCCAGCCCTAGTGCCTCGCTTTTGCTGAGGCTGGCTTTGAACAAGTATCTTGACTTTAGAGACATAAAGAGAATATGATAAAATAGTTGTGGCTACTCATAAGAGAAAATTCCCAAATAACATTGGCTATGAGTAAATGCAAATTTATTTCTCTTTCACATAAAAGCCTAGAGAGAGAGATAACCCCAACTTCCCCAGCAACATATGTGTGCGTGTATGTGTACACACACATATGTACGCATGTATATAATAATTTCTTCAAATTGCATGTATACATCCATGCATAAATACATATACCTACATAAAAATACAGAAATAAGAACCATGTACTGTTTATAGCAGTGTCCTTCTGTAATTCTGGAGTTTGAGAATTTACCATGGTTACATACCTTGGAGCCCCACAGACTATTGCCGCGTCCGGCCAAGGGAGCCGAGTCCGGCGAGGGACAGCGAGGTTAAAAGACACACAGGACACCAAGGTTCTTCATCCAGGAGTCAATAATAATCTTTATTGCTAACACGCCTTTTTTTATACCCCAAGCAGCAGAAGTGGAAAACTACCCAAAAGCAGGAGGGAGGGGGGAGAAATTTAGTTTCAACATCTATTATTGTCAGGTACTGAAACCTCCCTTAACAATAAGTCCATCAGACCAGAAAAGGTCAAGGCATTCCCGTGGGATACATATGTCTCAGACGGACAAGCAGGAACAAAAAAACCGCAAGTTCGCCATGGCCTTGTGAGCTGGCCACACTGGCATGCAGAACAAACTAGTGGAGGTAGGGCTCCAGGGGCCAAGGTGGACCTGTTGCCAACAGACTATAACTGGATTGAAAATTCTATACATCTATATGTTAGCTGCATGACCTTCAGTCTCAGTTTCTACTCATAACAAAGGGAGAATAATACCTGAGTGCTGATGTGAGGACCAGTTAGAGGGACGCACACTGCCTTTGGATCACTCAAGGAAGACTGACTTTATCCTTATAAGGTCACTCCATCCAGATCTTGAAGCAGCATTCCGTTTTTTGCCAGGGAAAGTTAGGAATCAGGCCAAGGGGAGAAGGTGACTTTTATTATATATTCTAAAGATACTCAGTCACATGCTTTTCCACATTTCCTCCCCAGCCCCATAATACTGGGGATTGAACCAGTGGCCTTGCTCATGCTAGGCAAGTACTCTACCACTGAGCGACATCCCTACCCTGCCCTTTTTTTTTTTTTTTGAGACAGGGTCTTGCTAAGTTGGGCTGGCCTCAAACTTTTGATCCTTTTTCCTTGACCTCCCAAGTAGATGGGATTACTGGCATGCATCACTATGGCCAGCTTTCAGAGTTCTGCATTTCTTAGTGTCATAAACTTTACTATTCCAGGAAGAAGGAAGGTCTTTCAAGATCTATGATATGGGAAACTTTTAAAAGGAAACGTGGCACTGTGCCTTCTCAGGGCTGCTTGATAACATATACTACGTATACATATATGATTATAGTTATGTAGCTACATAGGGATCCAGCATGACATGACTGTCATGGTCGTAACTACCATTTTGCCTGTCAGGTGACCCCTAGCAGGAACAAAGTCTTTATGATGGTCAGCTGAGCATGCTAATAGTTTTTGCGAAAGCTCAGGTACACTCTGGTTATGGGCAACCTTTGTGTAGCAAAGCACATAAACCCTTTGCACTGGCATCAGGGTGCAGGGATTCTCCTTTGTTGCTGTCACCTAAGTCATGTTTCCATCTGTAAGCCCCTAACAAACTGCATTTTATGCAGTCCTGAATTTGTCTACATTTTTTTTTTTTTTTGCTCTCTTTGCACTTTCTGTCTTGATGGACAGTTCTCACACGCTGGGTTTCCCCGAAATAGCCCTATTCCAAATATATACACACATATACGTGTATATTATATATGTGTTTATTTTAAATAACAAAATATTATTGCCACTCATATTTATGCTAAAAGTGATTAGTAATCAGGCATGGTAGCTGTAATCCTAGCAATTCAGAAGCCTTGGCAAGATGATAAAAAGTTCAAGGCCAGCCTCTATATTTTAGCAAAAAAATTCCTGTGTCAAAATAAAAAATAAAAAAAACGTGGGATATAGCTCAGTGGTAAAGCACCCCTAGGTTCAACCCCCAGCACCTGACCCCAATGTGATTAGATAAAACTATTTCCTAAATGAATTACTTATGTAACAGAAGGGCAAGATGATCAGGTGAATCCCTTATGATGTCATAATTCCTTTGCCAAGGAAGAGTGTTGTTTGGGTGAATCAACAGTAAAGCAGGAAAGAAGAAAAGGGAGGGTTGAATAGAGAAGATGATGAGAGAATAGAATTGTTTTCAGAACACAGAGACCTGGGCAGAGATGTACACAGAACACCATGGATGACAGTTTTTGCAATTTTTAAAAAGTCTTAATTTAAAGATTCTGCTTTATTCAGTGTGGTGGTCTCTCAACCCCATTGTCACCTGATCTTCTGAAATACTAATGCATTCATGTTCCTATAATTTCCTTGCTATCTCCCTCAAAAAACAAAACAAAACAAAACCAAAAAGCCAAGTTTCTGTGAGCTGGCCTCTTTTGCCCATTTCCTGCTTACACATATTTAGGTGCTTTCTTAGTCCCACAGAACAAGTAACTTTTAGTCTATTTTCTCCTGTTGTTTCTTTGGCATGGAATGCTCCTCTCACTGTAGGTTGGTATTTCTCTGATGTCATCTCCAGGAACTACCATCAGATCCTTCATCTGAGTGCTGGTCTCTGTCCCCAGTTCTATGCATACCTCTATTTTATTTTTTATCCTATTCTATATAATTTCATGTTAGTCGATAGATCTGTCTCCTATCCCCATAGTGCTATTTGGTCTTCTTAGCCTATTCCCTAGCACAGCATGGCACCCAAGAAATGTTTATGTAGCTGAAATGAGCCCACATTTGGTTACCTCTGAGCCAATGACTTCTGCCACTTACATGGGGGCTCAGAAACCCTTAAAATCAGCATGCTAACAAGTGCCTCCAGAGTATGAATACGTTTTGCAGAGTCTGAGGAGTATCAGGTCAACATTATTCATCTTGGGTTAAGGTTCCAAACCTGGACTAATCCAGATCCATGAGAGGAGAAAGGAAAAAAATCGAAGGAAACAAATACTCCAAGTCGCTCTGGTGAGATGTGGACCTGTAGACAACACTCCAGGCCGCCAGGCTGAGCCACAGCAGGATCCCATGCTCCCTGCCACTGCTACCCACCCTATACGTGGCCTTGGTTTTCAGGTGCACACCATCCACGTGGGTGTCACACCAGCGCCGGGTGGCCTGGGGAACGTCACCAAACACCTCTGACGTGATCCCTATAGCAGCAGCAGAAGCAGCAGTAGCAGCAGCGCGACCAGTTGGAGTGGGCGTCACCAAGCCATGGCCACCCTTTTCCCCGGGACAAAACCGCGGCGGAACCTCGGAGGGGAAGCCCTCGGGGTACCGGTGCGAAGTCCAGAGTCCCGGAAACCCCGAGGCAAGGAGGGGCGGGGAGGAATTAATCCTTTTCTCCAGAGTTGCGCAAGAGCCCGGGCGGGCGGCCGGGGGTGGGACCACCCGGGCGGGCTTTCCAGCCGGCGTCCCGCGCTCACACCCACCCTGCGGCGTCCGAATCAAAAGTGAAAGGAGCCTGATCGACCCTGGAAAGGCGTCGGGGGAGGTGGCTGCGTGTCTCCTAATCGCCGGGGCCCAGCAGCCGCTTTGTGACTTCACGCGTTTCGCAACAAGCCCGGGCCACCCGCGCCCCACCCACCCCGGCCCGGCCGCCTTGCAGCCTGCCACCTCTCTTGGCTCTTCGCGCTTCTCTCCCTCCCGGGCCTGCCCAGGCCTTCCCGGAGCCTCGGGTCCCGCCACGAGTCGCAGTCCGAGACGTGGCCGCCGTCTAGCTGACTGGCAAGTGCGCGGCCGCCGCCTCCACGCAGCCCGGAGCAACCCGGCGTCCCGCCCCGCTGAGCGCAGCGCCCTCTCGGCGGCCGCGGCGCGATGCTGTGCTTTCTGAAGGGGATGGCCTTCGTCCCCTTCCTCCTGGTGACCTGGTCGTCCGCCGCCTTCATCATCTCCTACGTGGTCGCTGTGCTCTCCGGGCACGTCAACCCCTTTCTCCCCTACATCAGGTGAGGAGCAGGGTGGACGACAGCGGCCAGGGAGCAGACAGGGATCCCAGGGCAGCGCTGCTGGTGGGGAGGGAAGACGGCCAGTCCACTCCCAGCTGGGGGCATCTTGAGGTCGAACTGAACCAGAAGGTGGCAACTCTGGCAATGCCTAGGGAAGCAGGGGTGCTGCGCTGAGCGGTCTGTCTGTACCCTGAGCACTCAACACAGTGGCATCAGGATGGGGGTTTAGGACCGAACAGACCATAGAACTTTCAGTCGGGGTATGGAACTGAATTGTGATAAAAGGCTTCTCTGGTGAGACTGAAAGAAAGATAGGTCTTGACTGATGACCTTTATTTTAAAAGGTAGATCCAGGTATCTGCTAAGCAGCACACGTATTTCACTTCTGCTTGCGGACATCTCTCGAAATGGATATCTAGCCTCCTTTTCCATGCCCCTCCCCCTAAAAACTGGAGGTTTAAATAGATAATGAAACATCAATATGACACTGATGTCAATCCGTGCTAATAAATGATAGAAGAAACAATTCACATCCAGATCCGTGCCCTGGCCACAGCCACAAGATGCTGACTCCAGATCCCTGGGAGTCTGGTTTAAATTCCCTTGGGAATTTAAGCCTAAGTCTGGTTTAAGACTCATCTGGACACTGGACCACCAAAGTTAGAGCCCGTAGATAGTCATCTCTTAACATCGCTTGCATTATTTTGCCATTTTATTTTTCCTGTATTTTGGCTTCCACCTTTCCTGAGGATCAGTGCTAGGGACAGTGGCTTGGTTCTCTTTATATGGCTTGGAGCTCTGTACCCCAAAGAGTAGGCATTCCTTAACTATTAGTATGATTCATCCTTATTTAAGTGGTGTGACCCCACTGGATCTGCATTGGTTAGTGAAGGGAAAATAAATTTGGGGACAGCCAAGAACTTATTATTACTTTAGGATAGAGAGGGCCTCTCCTTCTTTGTATCTTTTCTGTCTGGTAAACAATATTCTATGTGTTTTTTTGTTTGATTTTTTGTTTTGTTTTTGTTTTATGGAGAGGAAGGGGAAACAGGTGAGACAAGAGAGGACTAGGGTCTAAAGAAAGATGCAAGGAATGTACAGACAGGTACAACGGAGCACACCAGCAAATCTCTAGGGTTGGCCATGGTATTGCCTTGCAAGAAGAAATGTTCTAAAGATTTAGGAGACCCCCCCACCCCAAGCTGGTCTTGTGCCCTGGAAGAAACCTGGGCTGGGTTTTTCATGGCACCTCTCAGTTCCAAGTGTTACCATCTCCCTCCTCTCATTTCTGAGACAGAATAGATTCCCTTCAACTTGCATAAAAATGAAGAGCTGTTAAAACAGCCGTGTTTGTCCTGAGTCTGAATATGAATAATATGATATGCACATGGGCCTGGCCGTGTGTAGTTATGACTAACATCCCCTCAAGGTAAACTCGGGGACAATCAGAAATGAGGAAATAAGGTGACAAAGTGAAATATTTGTGAGATGCTCATTCCAGTTAAGGGGTTTAAAATTTAACAAGGAAAATAGGCCTACAGGAAAAGCAGAATTTTAGGAGAAAAAGGCAAGAGATGGTCCCCTTACTGCCAGGAGCCATCAGCCAACAACAAAGTGTACCAACTGTGCCCATGTCTGTCTGGGGAGTTTGGGTTGTTTGCTGTCTGCTTATGTGAGCAGCTGGAGCACTGGCTTGCCCTGCCCCTTCTGGAAAACTTAACTGAAACAAGATAGGAACCAGACATCAAGAAATGGTGTAACATATTTATTCACCAACCCAGAATTTTTTTTTTTTACCTTATCTCTTCTCCCTAAACCCCACGACCCCCTCAGCTCTCTCCCAACCTTCCTTATCTGTTATCACTGATCTTATGGCCTCTTCCTCCTCCTTTCCTCTACCCCCACTCCTTATACTTCCATCCATCCATGCTTTGCACTGGCTGACTGCCAGAATGTTCTTACTCCAGGTAGTGGCAGGCATTGTCCTTTACCTCCTCCTTTGTTCACATATTATCATCTTAGTGAGATCTGTTCTGATCACCCTGTTTAAAATTGCACCCTACATTCCTGATCCCCCATATGGTCGTATTTTTCTCCATAGCCCCTATCACCTGCTAAGAAATTATGTGCTTTAACTTATTCATTGTGTTTATTATCTGTCTTTCTCACTAAGATGTAAGATCCTTGAAAAGATCCTCAGTATGTGTGAAGTTATATTTCTTGAGCTCTTTACTCATCTTTGGTCAGGGCAGATCCCTGGGAAGCTCAATAAAGCCATTCAGTTTGGTGGTTGATCAGAGATTAGAGGTTCTCAGGGGGAGTCCCCTTTCCCATGCTAAATTTGTTCAGCCAAACCCATGCTCTGATGTTTTTAGCATACTCTAAAACTTTAAATAAGAGTAAAAACCACCAGAAGAGGGGCTGGGGAAGTAACTCAGTGGTAGAGCGCTTGCCCAGCATGTGTGTGGCACTGAGTTTGATTCTCAGCCCCACATATAAATAATAAAGATCCATTGACAACTAAAAATAATATTTTTTTAAAAAGCACAAGAAGATCTCTTTCCAGAGTGACATTCAAAGTCAGCTTCCTTATCAGATATTTGTCTCCGAATAACATTGTTATTCTTCAGTACATTGGATAAATCAGCAAATGACTTTTTGACACAGAAAGATGTTCAATTTCATGAAAAGAAACAAAAATTCAAATTGAAACTCATTGGTGCCTTTTTTTCACCAACTGGACTGGTAGAAAATGCAAATGTCTGATAACACTACTGGTGAGACTTTGGGAAGACAGACTATCTCTTATATTGCTTGTGGGAATGTAAATTGATTTTAATCTCTGTAGAGGGACTTTAGCAAAAATCTATGGAAATGATATACACATACACATCCTTTGATGCAACAGCCCCTCTTTTGGAAATTTACCCTGCAGGGATACCTGCGCATCTGAAGAATGGCATATCTACAAGGTTGTTCACAACACTGATTACATTTATTTATTTTTTAATTTATTTTTACAGGGCTGGGGATTGAACCTAGAGCCTCATGCATGCTAGGCAAGTGCTCTGCCACTGGGCTACACACTCAGTCCAACACTGCTTTTAATAATGACAGACTGGAAGCCATGCAAATGTCCATAATAGAGAACTGACTAAATAAATACAGATTATCCAAAAATTACAATACCTCAAGTGAAATCTCTTGCTATTTAGCAGATTCACTTTAAATTTATGTGCTGATATGAAAAAAAAATCTCCAAGAATAATAATCATTAAATAGAAAGAAGTCAGATGCAGAACAAAATATTCTACCATTAGTCAGGAAAAAGGGAAAGAAAAATAATATGTGGTGTGTGTGTGTGTTAGCTTGTATAAAGAGACTGATAAGGATTGGGGTTGTAGCTCAGCAGTAGAGTGCATGCTTATCATGTACCAGGCCCGGGTTCAATCCCTAGTACCAAAAATTAAAAAATAAAAGAGACTAATAAAAGTGGTTTACTTGTGTGTGATGGAAGGTAGAAAAGATCAGAAAGATATTGTAAGGGTGATTATAAAGCTTTTCCCACCATCTCTTTGGGTATATATTCATTTTTAAGTCAAATGGATGGGTTTCCTATCAGAAAATTAAAAACACGGGATTCAGATACCCACTAAATTTAACAAATTAGAATAGCAAAAAGTGATATTTCTGTGTGCATTATGAAATTACTAATGCTAGGATGTCAAAATCAAGGGCAAATAAAAGTCAACCTTAAAAGATTAGTTTAGATTTTTACAAGGCCACACCTACATTCTGAAGCACAATCATGCTTAATTTTTATTTATTTTTTTTTAGAGAGAGAGAGAGAGAGAGAGAGAGAGAGAGAGAATTTTTTAATATTTATTAGTTTTCGGCGGACACAACATCTTTGTTTGTATGTGGTACTGAGGATCGAACCTGGGCCGCACGCATGCCAGGCTTGCCCGCTACCACTTGAGCCACATCCCCAGCCCAATGCTTAATTTTTAATAACCAAATCCTCTGTAAACAAATCCCTTGGGCTATCTGGTATCAGCTTACCAATTTCCTGCTGGTAGATCACTCTGTGTCTTCTTTGCCCTGTTTCTCTTTCTGTGACCCTTTTTTCTTAAAGTTTTGCCACTTCTAGATCCTAGCTTTGCTTTTTATTAGTACTTGTCTCCCTTCTTCTGCAAGTATGGTTTTGCTGGATGATTGTGGTCTGTTGGTGTTGTTCTTCCTCATGACCACAATCTTTGCTCAGTAATTGATAGAAGAAAACTGGGCCACTTAAAATTAAGCCACTTTAAAGGAGGACCAAAATTACATAGTAGATGAAGGAAAAGAGGTCAGGCCTTTGACTTCAAAAAAGAGACTAAAAATGAGGAAAGCAAAATTATTATTTTGTTAATGATCACATAATGTATCATTACAATTATGCACTAATTCTAATAATTAAGAAATGATTCAGATACTGTTTTTTTTAAGGGAATGATGAACAAATTTTTCATTATTGTTTGAGGACTGCATGATATAAAGTCCTTTTTTGGCATTTGGCTTTTGAAGGGGGGATAAGAACTTGTTCATTTTTTTGCAAAAATATTTGAAGACTTCAATTTTTTTCAATAGCCATCCTTAATCTAGTTCTTAAGGATATTGCATATTGTTTGTCATGAAGAATATATGGTTCAAGAGGGTAGAAATTTGGAGTTTGTTCACTCTTGGGTCTCCCATGTTGACATATGTAATTTCTGACATATGGTAGCTACATAGTGAATATTGGTTGAATGTTGATCAAAATAGGCCTGCTTTATTAACCTGGTCAGTTTCCTCCTCTTCAATTGTTAGCTGATTCTGTTAATTTGGTTGTGATTCCAGTCCTCCTCCCACATCACTTTGCTGACTTCTGAAATTTTTCATGTTTTATGAGATTTTCAATCTCATTTTGCAGTCTTTTCGTATCATTGAATATTTACAAAATTGATATTCACTCCCAGAGG